TGTGCTGACATAAATATTTTCTCCTGTCCAGGACTTTGTGATATTTGAAGATAATGAAGTGAAAAGAAAAAAGACCCCGTCACTAATCTTTATAATAACGTAATGGTCACCTCATCCGCAATCTTAATTCAAACTGACAGTAGAAGTTGAAACTCCTTGGAAATTTCATCTTTATAAGATGTATAGCTATCACATCTTTCCACATATTAAAAGACATGAACAGACGCTCCACGTTATGGAACTCAATATCCACACCTTCTGCTTTACCACTCCCCATAACGTCTCACTGGGCAAATTATCTGACTTGGTAGATCAGTTCAACATCTGGCATGAAAACGGAAACTATTTTTAAAAACTAAAGTAATCACCACCTAACTAGCTGGGTTTCTCTGACATGCCTAGAACCTGGAAGTGAAACCAGGATGTCTAATAATAGACAACAAGCACTAAAGTGAGAACCGTCTGTTGACAGCTTTAATATGAAAAGATATTTGAGAAGATCTAAATCATAACTTCAATCAAAAGTTTGAGTTTTCCTCCCAAACTTGATCCTCAAGAGTGTCTGCACCCGGATTGCAGGTTGCACCTTCAAGTTAGGCTAGGGCACCTGCTGGAATGCCTCCTTTCTTCTCTATTTTTGAGGACTATCAACAGAAGGCACATATGTGCGCACTCTTGGGGATATGGCCTCTCACACGGCACACGGCCTTTGTCAAGATGGCAACATGCCGTCAGAAGTTCTTGTACACAGGAAGAGCTCAATAAAAGCTGGTGGAATGGACTCATTAAAGCAGCTCTTCATTGTCTGGCTCCAAACCAACTTTCTTTCATTTTGTTTTAAATCTATTCCTTTAACCCACCCTAACCTAATTTAAGTACCTCAAACATAAGTTCTCTCTTCCTTTTTGGGCCTCCTTAGGTGTCCTCCCTTCTCAAGAAACAATTGCCCCCCACCCCCAAACCCAACTTCTACTCCTTCAGTTCAAAAGTTGGATGGTAGTATCCTAAGAAAGGAAGACTTCACGTATACCCCCAATGAGGTGATCTTCCTTGATGTGGGCTCCTGTAAGTTTTCATGCTTCTCTGCCATGAAATTGCCATCTTTGTCTGATGTTGTTTCTCTCATTGAACTGTAAGTTCCCCGAGGGCAGGAACTGCATCTGCCTTGCTCACCCCTGTATGAGCAAAAGTCACACAGACCCTATTTAAGTGAAACTTCTTCCTTTAAAATCACATAAGAGCCAACAAGATAAAATTTCCAAAATAATTTTCCTAATACCTTGCTTTTGAGAATGACAGCATCCTTTTAAAAATCTCGTCTTCATCTTTGAAAGGCAAGGAAACTAAAAGCAAAAACAAGTTGTCTTTTCAACACCTGGGGAATGGTTGGGAGAATCAGCAGATCTGTGTTTCCCTATGACATCTTGGCTCTCAGTGGATTCTACTTCCCTTAGGTTTTAGGATTCCAGCATGTTTCCAGCATGATCTCCACCAGAGGAGAAGTTAAAAATTGTATTTTTCATCACCTAATATCGAATCACCAACCTGAGTCATGCAACAAACAGGCTGAATCCCCTCTTCTGGTGGGAGATGTGGAGTATTGCAGCAGGAACTTAGCATCATCTCCATTCACAAAACCAAAGTTGGAGCAAGCAGTTTCAACCCTGGCTATGAATCGTCCAGTTTGGCTGCTCAGAGTGATGTGTCAGCCTCCTCCCTGATTACGAACTTGGAGGCTGGCTAGCCAAGCAATTCGCCAAACATTTCCAGGCATGGATAGAAAGAAAATTACATTTTGTATGCAGTTGTTGTTTTTTTTCCCCCCAATCCATGTTGTAATTCTGGGAAGCCCTGCCACCTACTTTAAATGTTCTAGAGATAAACATGAAGGAACGAGGTGCACAAGCGTCATTATCATGACTACGTTCAGTGCAACAGTTAGACCACTGCAGTACACAGACCTGCCTGGATGAATTACCGTGCAGAATCAATCCTCTGGGAGGGGGTATGGGGGAGGATATTAGCATTAGCATAGAGGGAAGTGCTGGGAAAATCAGGCCTGGGCTGCTGGGATGCTGAGGGCAAACACAGAACCCTGTCTTATTTTAAGCCTGGTGGGGAAGCCCGAGAGACCACAGCAGGTCAGGGAATAGGGGAAAGTGTTGAAATGTTTTATTTTTGTTCACATGCTAGAAATAAAGGAGGGGAGCAATACAGTGGGAGTTTCAATTAAGAGGTAGAGTAAAGAAAACTGAAAATACTCACTGAGCATGTGCACTTTAAGGAAGGTTTTATAATGAGATAATGTAAAGGGAGGCTTAGGCATGTAGGGCCAGCTATAACTGGTAGGAGAGACATGGTATCCACCTTCCATGTGGGCAGAAGTTGCTAAGATGCCTGAAGAAACTTCCTCCATTAGACTTTGAGTTCCTATGCAGGACTTTTAGAGTCATTAACTTGTCAAGTAGGCTTCTTAGACTGGGCTGAATTCAAGTGGTATGAAAGCTTTTTCTAGGATACTATATAGAATGCCCACTGGCATCTCTGTGCCAAGCTAGCCCACAAGAATTTAAAGTGAACTTGACAACTAAGGATCTTTGGGCAAAGCCAACCAGTCTCTCTAAAGCACACCCACACACAAAATGCCCTTGAGAGTTTTCTTTGCCTCACCCAGCTGGCCATTGCCCTGTGACATACAGGAATTAAAAATCATATCAAGAAAGTCACCATGCTTTTCCTCTTTCTCCTCGCTTTCTTTTTTTCATGAACAATTCAGTCCAAAAGCCATTAGGGAGGGGCTCAACAAGATGGTATCTGCAGTGGGGGTGGGAGGAGTCAGTGATCACAGGACCACAGTGTGCTGGAGCCACAGCAGGGTGGGTGGGGAAGAGTGGTGATCCAGCACATGGTACTGGAGCCGAAGATGGGTAAGGAAAATAGGAGATTGGTTACATAAGGTGAGGAAGGGATTGATCAAATAATAAATATATTGAAGGTAGTAGGAAAGAGGCATTTTGTTGTTAGGAAGGTTACAAATATGGAGAGAATATGAACCCCATGGTACTAGATTAGAATTAAAGGTATCAAGGTAAGCTCATGATTTTCAAGATAGGTAGGTAGGTAGATGGACAGATAGACAGACAGATGGAATCTGTGTATATTCTCTAATTCTGTTTGTTGAGAGTGCCTGGGAGCAGTGACAATCCAATAGCAATGAGCACACCAAGCTCCCAGATGAGATGAGACTGGAACATCTTGTGGTGTCAGAAAGTGAGGACATGCCCAGAGAACAATGAGGACATGTCAAAAGGACGCTGAAGTTAGCTTGAAAGGGCTCCCATAAGCTATATCTAAACAAATTAAGAATAAAAGTAATAGAAATGGATTCTAACCCATTGAATATAATAGGAATCCACAAGACTACACTGACATAAACAGATAAATGAATAAAGTTTGATGAGGAGTGGGATAAAGATTACATAGTACCAAAGTAACTCCCCAGAGAATATTTATTACTTACAAAGGACACAATAATTTTACTGTAAAAGCCTGTCAGATATTCCCTCAAACAAGTGATCAAAATTAATATCATGTGAAAAAAGTCAGTATCTGTCCCTGTAAGGGACACCTGATTGGATATAGTGAGAAGAATATAGCAATATTTTTGTGGTATTCCTACCAAAGATGCATAACCTAAATGTACTCATGTGAAAGCATAGACAAACCCAAACTGAGGGACATTCCGTAAAATTGGGCATGATGGAGCATCATGTTGGCAATTTACCCTCAAGTGGTTCAGAATAAAAGATATTTGTACTATACCTGGGAACTTTTCTTTAGGTTGAGATTATTTCAAATCTAAATATTTATAATCAAAAGAATTACCCTGAGTCACTGTAGATTTGATGGAAGCCAAGTGTCAGATGGGATTAAGATCTGGGTAAACCAAGTCAAACGCCAGCAATTATATGTTAGGATAATGCTTTTTAGATGGTTTCCAGTGAAAGAAGTTTTCCCCTCAGTCCGTCATGAGCCAATACTTTTAAAAAACACAAAATTCCACACTTGGATTTGAGGACAATATCAAACTGCAACAAGAATTGTCAAATGCTTGCTCTCAATGTCTGTACTGATTCTCAGTGTGGACCTGGAACAAACAGTCCATGGACTAGCCCAGACCACACTTCGAGCAGCACTTCTCCACATTAGGATGTGTGGCGCTCAGACTGCCATCACATCCAAATGGGAAATGAAAACAACTGGTCACACTGTTAATCCATAATGGTAGCAACATTAATTACCACCATAATTAACATCAACCATTTATACAAAGCATTCAAGAAAGGGACTGCCCAGGCAATGGGAAGGGACTAAAGTAGTCAATTTCTCCAAATGTGTCATAGGGCAAGAATGAATGAGACCATCCCTGATTCCAAAGCAATTGCATTGTGATGACTAAAAGGAAGACAAATCCAATCATACAGAAGAGGGACAAAAACATCTTCTATGGGTCAATCTGCACCGGGTCATGACTGTCATTGTTAGAAAGGGATCTCGCATTTAGAAGGGGTTAGCAGAGCACATCCCCCAAATCAGATGGGTTTGATTTAACCACAGATACTAAGGGTCCAAGCCAGTCCACATGCAGGCTCACTCTGCCAGGGTCCACGCCACACACGGCCCCTCCCTCAGCCAGAGGCAGCCCTTTCAAATAGAAGAGAACAATTCTCTACTAAAGCAAACCCAGAGCAGAACAACGAGGAAGAAGCAATTGTACCCTCAGGGAAATGGCACACCATCCAGGCCCAGGGTTCTTCTAGGGGACATTCGGACCTCAGTTGTCTGTCCCTGGATGGACGCGAAAACCCTCGTTACCAGTGCCCCCCCCCCGCCCCGTCACTAATCCTAGCCACACACAGAGGAGGCTCCACAAAGACTCACATAAGCTGGAGTCACCCTTTCTGTCCACAGCATCTGTCTTTGGCGCGTGGTTGGCTTACCTGGCGCGGTTTTGTAGCATGATGTTCGGGAGGGCAGCGACGGGGCATTCTTTGCCCTGGGGCTCTGGGTACTCTGCAAGACTTGTCTCTGCCTCTTCAGCTCCTCTTCCCTTTCCTGGGCTGCTCGGATCTCTTCCTCGATCATGGACAAAGTCCGCTGCTTCCTGGACCTCAGCTTGAAGGGCCCAACCATCACATCGGACTCCTGAGTGGCCAGGAGCGAGGCTGTGCTTCTCAGCTCAGCTGCCTCCGAGTACTTGCTGAAATAGCTCCCTTCGGGCCTGGTCTCCTCCATGTTTACCGGGCCACTGGGCTGCACTGCAGGCGTCGGCTGGGAGGGCTCCCTTTCCCTGAGTGCCCTGTCTTCGGCAGGCAGAATCTTTGGTAACACCTCCCTTTTCTCCTGAACAGGAGAGGACACCTGGGGTGGCTCAAACGTGCTCTGAGGCTTCTCTGAGCCGGGAGCCCCAGTTCCGGCTTCCTCTAGAGTTGCTCCAGGTCGCTGCTGCTCTGTCCCACCCTGGCTGGTTTCGGACACGGCTCTATCCACTTGCTCGGCTATGGCTTGTTGAATGGCATTCTGCACCAGGAGACCAGCCTGATATTCCAAGGGGTCATCAACCGAGGGCGAGTCTCCCAGTGTGGACGAAGGGGAATAGAAACCGTGATCACTAAATGACTTGGAGACGCCTTCTCCCCGGCCCTCGGAAGGGTTGTCAGTTTGCGGAGTCTGGGGCAGAGAAAAATCGGCCAGTGAGTTTTCCTGGAGGGCATTGGTGGTCTCATTGGATGCCCCGCTGTCACTGATGTTGTCCATGCTAAAATCATTGGACAGGGTCTCCAGGACAGTGGTATCCTGGGACCTCACTGACAGTTCATCCAAACCAGAGTCAAGCTCCTCTTGGGTCAGAGAGACATTGACTGACCTGGAAAACTGATCCAAGATCCCAGGGTCGTCATCCTTGACCACAGTGAGGACGGCCCGGGCACTGGTAAACTCCCCGTCCTCTGCCCACAGTTTGGATAAGGGCCCGCGTTTGGAAGTCTCATTGTAGGGCCCTTCCTTCCCCTGAGGGGCCGTGCTGCCCTGGCTTCCCCCCGAAGACTGGCTCTCCAGGGCACAGCCGGCTTTCTGCCCCTTGGCTGCTGATGCACCCCCGTCTTCCGGTGGCCCCCCGATGGAAGCTGGTCTCGAGACGGTCGGTGGCTTGTCTGAGTTGATTGACCCTAGAGGCCTGTAAAAGGGCTTGATAGAGAAGAGCCTGGGTGTACTCTGGCCCTTGGCCACTGCTGGCCTGGAACTCTCCATGAGCTGGAACTGCTTGCGCGCGGCGGAGAAGTCGATCTGCTCGGTGACGACGTCCTCCTTTGCGTGCTCGCTCGCGCCGGCGTGCTCGCTCGCGCCGGCGTGCTCGCTCGCGGCGGCAGGGGCCGCGCACAGCTGCGGGGGGAGGGGCTGCCGCGGCGCCGGCCCCTGCTCCCGCTGCGCTCTTCTCTCCTTGCGCTCCTTGTACTTCTTGTGCGACTCCAGAGACTCCTCGTCCAGCTGCTCCTCCGTGGTTTTGGCCTGGGGAGGATTCCACCATTTTGCCGCAATGCCAGGATTCTTTTTCACCGCCTGACTCCGGATGAGCTCTCTCCTTTCCTTTTCCAGCTCCAGCATCTCTTCCGAAGGCCTCACCTTCCTGACACAGTACTGTTCCTTCTCGTTCTCGTCGTCCTCAAAGAGCTTGGAGGGCTTCTTGTCCTCGTGGAAGGCACGCAGCTCAAACTTGGCCGCCTTCTTCAGCGTGGTGAGCGTGAGCTCCCCGTCGCGGCCCGAGCACCGCGAGCTGGTGGAGGAGCTGGGGCTCGCGGGGGCCTGCGGGCTGTCCCCCAGCAGGTCTCGGGGCTGGGCGGGGGAGTGGCCATTGGCTTTTCCGCCCTCTGCCATGGCCTCAGAGTAGCTGGTACTGAGCTCAGTGTGAGGAGGGGCCTGTCTACCTGCTGCCCTCTCCGGGGGGTCCGGCTGGACGGCTGCGTGGCCGGGTGGGCTTGGGCCACCCCCCACGATGGCTGCACCCGGCTCCGGGGACGATGTACCGTTGTAAGTTCCGTCCACAGCAGAATCACAGCAGCTGGCCTCCAGCACCTCGTCTAGATAGCGGATCTCTCTGGCCACATCCTTATCCAGAGCTTCATGGTGATCACCCAGGAGGCCATTGTGGGGGGGTGAGTAGAAAGGGGAGGAGTGGTCCATGGAATGTGGGGTACAGGTGATTCCGGGAACACTTTTACATTCCGCAACAGAGACCTCAATTTCCATGTTTTTGTGGTCTGGGGGAAGGGAGCTGGTTGCAGGCTCCGAGGGGCTGGCACTGCCTTTGTCTCGCTGGTTTTTTAGCCGGATATCATCCTCAGAAAGCTGGGGAGGCTTCTGGAATAAAGAGACAACCAAAGTCAGAGTTAGATACTAATAAATCTCTTTTGGAGGTGAACCCTGAGAAATTAGTTGGTAACTCACTGGAAGGAAAACTGAAACGATGACAAGTTCTTCGGACCTGAGATTTCCCTCTGGTAATTCTTCACGTATTCATTTTGCTGTGCTGATTCATACCTAAACCTCTCCATGTTACAGATTCGGTTTTGTTTACTGGGTGTCCGGAGAACTTTCCATAAATGCTAATCCCATTTTTAAATTTCAACGTAGGGGCGCCTGGGTGGCTCAGTTGGTTAAGCGACTGCCTTCGGCTCAGGTCATGATCCTGGAGTCCGCGGATCGAGTCCCGCAACAGGCTCCCTGCTCAGCGGGGAGTCTGCTTCTCCCTCTGACCCTCTCCCCTCCCATGCGCTCTCTCTCCCAAATAAATTTAAAAAAATTAATAAATCTCAATGTAAATTAAGATTCAGATCATTTGAAGACACTGTTCAAATATCTTCTAAAGTAGAAGAGATTATATAGCAATTATACCAGAATTACTACTACTATTGCAGAAATGTAATAGGACTATTTGTGTGTCCCCAACTATAATAAGATGGTCCCTTTGCATGAGCAATTCTTCTTGAAAACATGATTCTCTGCCAGATGTAATGCAATTATTCTGGAGACAAGAAACTTCTTGGAAAATTTTTCCAAAATAAAATACTGGAAAACAGTAGATCCCTTCCAAGGCCACTTAACAGCTACAGTGCCCCATCACTATGGCTCTTAATTCAGCATGTGCATAAACACCATAACCAAAGCCACTGACTGCACAGTTCTGTTCTCTGGGACTACATCAAAACAATACTCCTTAGGTTAAGGAGTGAGGGTTGCTTTGAAAAGTTAGTGACGAGTGGCTCCTCTCTGGTTCCTAAAATGTTCTCTATGTGATGGTTCCAGTCTTACTGTTAAAAAAGAAAAACCACATCTTAATGTTTTGAAATAAATCCTACTTTCCCACCAATTACCAATCCCATGTAATTTTGTTATTTGGCATTAGTAAAATTAATTTTCAAATTCTAGGATGATATCTTTTTTCATACCCAAGGACTCTGGTTTATCTCAGATAATTGAGTGGTAAATTGTGAGGTTTAGGGGCGCCTGGGTGGCTCAGTCATTAAGCGTCTGCCTTCGGCTTGGGTCGTGATCCTGGGGTCCTGGGATCGGGCCCCACACTGGGTTTCCTGCTCCGCAGGAAGCCTGCTTCTCCCTCTTCCACTCCCCCTGCTTGTGTTCCCTTTCTCACTGTCTCTCTCTCTGTCAAAAAATAAATAAAACCTTTGAAAAAAAAATTGTGAGGTTAATTAGTGAGTGTTCCTCAAGGATTTCACGGACACCTTGGTCAAGTTTGTCTTCCTCTCTCAAGTCCATAGTGTGCCTCATATTATTGACATACTTCCACGCAAAACTGCAAGATGGCATCGTTTTCATTTGTGTCCATAATAAACGATTTGAAAATCTTAGAACATAATGTTAAAACACCACCTTAGGATGATTCTCGGGGGATTCGTTTCAGAATCCCTCCAAGGAAGGTGCATAATTACAGATTTGTTCATGAGACCTAGAACAACATGGGAATTCACCCTATGTGCTCTGTACTGCTGTCAGAATGCTGAAAAATTCTCATGGTTTTCCATGAACTAGAAGGTTCTCCATGAACTAGAGGTTTCCTTCACTCTGCATTGTTTACATTCCCCTCTAGACTTAATCCAATATGTTCCTTCTTCAGTCATAGGCAACAATAACAACTATTCCTTTGTCAACACTTTCTGGTCTTGGATGACCTTCCTGTCTAGCTCTGGTCTTTGTCCAACTCTGGTACTTTAATATCATTAATATTTATAACACTAATATCTTTATTTTATTTTTTTACCATCATTAACTAGTGTTCTTTTATCTTTAGAATGAACTCAAAGACGTTTTTACTGCCTTTTAAAAACATTAACTAGACTTCCTTTTGGTAAGGCAATTGCCAGTGACTTCCAGGTCATTAAGAATTACAGAAAATTTGAATGCCTGAAACTTACAGGCTGCCGTTCAATTTCAAATAAACCTAGGTCAAAATTAGCCCACTCCTGTGGAAAGCTATTACTGGAATAAACATCAACAAAAAGAGATACGAGGCACTGCTACTGTGAGAATCAGATTATCTGTGACCCTCCCACTCTGGCTTCATTTGGCCAATGACTTACTGCTAACATTCTTTATGGGAATAAGTAGAGCTTTTCTTATATCCTTTTTGGTTTGGGGGAAAAAGGTAAGAAAATGGTAGGAAGCTGTTGGAACTGAATTATGGTTGAAAATCACTGCCCTCCTGAAACATAAAATACTTCAGTTGACATAAGAGGAAAGAGGGCAATGTAACAGTAAAGGAAGCTAAAAGGCAAATAATTCATTCTATACTTCATTTAGTCATTCATCCATTCATTAAACACGCAGGAAGCTTGTTTTGTAGGGTCATAATGAGATTAGCAGCAACCATAAGCTCCAGGAGACAACACTTTTTTCTTAACAAAAATTGGACTTCCTAGGAAGCCGTAAGTCTATTTTGGAGTTTATTTACTCTAGTCAGGAGGAGTGAAAAACTTGCCTACATGATCTCCTGTTGCTAATCACAGAGACAGGAGGTCCTGAGTCCACCTCCACAGCACGGCCCATGAGCACCTTGTCTCTTTTTCCTGGGTGCTTCAGGTCCAGTGTTGGGTGATGGACAAGCAGATGCCCTATCAGCCTTTTTTCTCTTTTAGAACTTAAAAATTCTACCAAGTCTTTCCAAGGCATATTTTCTGAAGTAGCAAGTGTTCCAATTCAAAATTTTAAAAGTCTGAGAACAGCATCTGACAATACATTTTTGCCGTGTCCAAAAAAACTACCATTAGCTCTTTGAATCAGATATGATGAGTCTCGTTCCTTGAATGCCTTCTATGATGTGTCAAACCAAGATTTTAAAAATGCGAATTACTGGATAAAAGTCAGAGTTTGGAGTCCCAGTGTAATTTGAGACGATTCCGTTCCAATACACTTGTTTAAAAAATTGAGACACTGGAGGGTATAAACAGGAAACGGCTCTCTCTGCTTCCTGTTACTTACAACGGGGCTCCTCCCACTTCTTTCCACAAATTCAGGAAATTTTTCTTGATACTCCATTCCATCTACTTCAGGGAGTAGCAGCTCTACGCTCTAATCAGGGTAGAAGTAATGAAAGAGATAAGGCTGCATTACTGATTCACCATCAGGCATCAGAGGTCCTGAGTTTTTGTAAGCAAAGTTAGGCAACAATTATAACAAAAGAGCAAATTCCTGAGTTCTGTTCTCAACAGGATGAATTTACCTTCCTGAAAGAGGGCCTGATGCAATCAAAGCCACCAGTAAGTACACCAGGTAAATGGAAGTGGGCCGGAAAGTCCACAGCACGGATTTGGCAGGAATCTGGGCTTGGTGTCATTAAATGATGTTTTGCTTAAGCCAACAAATGCTCATTGCTCCCTTTGAAGATTAGAAAGACTAGAATTTTCTCCATGCTTCAGATAAGATGAACCTGATTCCTGATTCGGATAAAATGCACATTCATTAAATGAACTGGAAAGTCCTTTCTGAAATAAACCATGCCCCAATGCAAAAAAAAAAAGATATAAATGAACCATCAGGGGTGCCTGGCTGCCTCAGTATGTAGAGCATACAACTCTTGATCTTGGGGCCTGGGGTCCTGAGTTCAAGCCCCACACTGGGCGTAGAGCTTACTTAAAAAAAAAAAAAAAAAAGAACCACCAAACTGGATTTTGAAAGGGTGCTAAGAGACTGAAGGGAAATCCTTGGATTCCCCCTGCTAACCCTCCAGGTGGAGCCCTAACTGCATGACGAGTATTACCTGCCAACCTACTGGCTTCCTGGAATAGCTAATAGCCAGTCAGGATGTCTACTATTTACTTTAAAATATGTGGACAGAGACAATATAATACAGCTGTGTGTGTCTGAATTAGTTTAAATTCTATTCAGGGACAGACAGCCGTCCTAACTGGGAATATATACTCCGAGAGTGGTCAACCAGGATCTAATCAGAAATTCCAGGCTCTGTAGGTGGCGTCCTTCCTGGGTGGGCTAGCACTCTTTAACTCCCATGGCCCCCTGAGGCTTAGCTAATTGGCATAATTAAGGTGAGAAACGGGTTTTCATCAGTGAAATTAGTGGCTTGTCAATTAGCATAATAAACGTTAGAAATCGGTGAAATTGGTGGTGTTCAAATTTGCGGATTAGAGATGTTCTCTGGCCTTTCCTGAATAGGATTTACGACAGAGTGAGCACCATGGCTTGTGTACCCTTAGGGATGGTGATGGAGCCCGAAAACCAAACAGCCCTTTCCGCAGCCTTTGGTTCAGAGGAGTTTGGTTGTTAAACGACTACTATACAGCAAGGGAATCCTGCCTTTTTAAAACTGCCACATCTATCTTCATGCAAAGTGAGGTTGGGAGCGTCTAGAATCTTCCGGAGCTGAGGTTTCTTTGAGGTTAAAGACAGTAGGTTTTATGCCTACTTTTGCAAAGGTTTATTTAATAACTATCTGTATGAGTGCCAGAACTTGGTCCAAGACCTGCTTTTATTATAACCTGGTAGCCCGGTTGTGTCTCAAGCTGCCACTATTTACAAAATCGCGTTTAATAGTTATGCAAAGCAAATTATATGGGTTAATTTACAACAAGGGGGCCCGTGTCTCCTGTGAAAGTTCTGCCAGACCCTATGCAAGACAATCATGGGACTCCTCTTGGAAGAATAGAACTCCTTTGTAAGCAGGACTCATACCAAGATCTTTCAAATCTGTTTTAGGAATTTGATTAGATAATGTGTTTAAAAGTACTACATAGTGGGGTGTGAGTGGCTCAGTCAGTTAATCGTCCCACTTGATTTCGGCTCAGGTCATGATCTCAGGGTTGTGAGATCAAGCTTGTGTCGGGCTCCGT